CCAACAGCTTATGTTGCAACAGTTGGAGGATTTGGATGTTAACCGACTCCATGCAATAGGTCAAAGTGTGAAACAGAGTGAAATCAGAGCAAGGAATTACGGAAAGAAAGTGTTTTGCAGAACATTCCAAAAGGGAGACCTAGTCTGGAAGACCATTCTTCCTACATATAAGAAAACTGACCAATTGGGAAAGTGGTCACCGAATTGGGAAGGACCATACATTATTCAAAAAAATATTGGAAATGGCGCTTTCATTATTGTAAATCATGAAGGTAAGAGAGTACATGATTGTATTAATGCTAAATATCTGAAGAGGTATTATCCTGCCTTTTCAGATAACAAAACTGCATGAAACAAAATATTATTCAGAACCCATTTATGGGGTTCGAACCTATTTTAAGGTTCATTTCTGTTAGTCGTCATGTATTTGTGGGAGGTATTCTGCCTCTGGATCAGAATTTTCATCCCAATGATTGGATATTAGTTCTGGTTCTTCATCGATAAGATCTTCCAAATCTGGTCGGTACCTCTCCCATTGGCTTTGCATTTCATCTAAATCTTGATTGGTACGTGCTTGCATATTTGTTATGGCTTGATATTCACGGTCAACAATGGTACGCAATCTGGAAAAGATTTTTCGTTGATTGGAAAATATATTATCCCAACCAAGGTCTGGAAGTATGGTTGCTGCGTGATGTTCAATCAATTCCATGTGATGATGGAGGTCAGGAATGCGGCTAAGGATGTCACGAAGAGTTTCATGCCCCTCGATGATTTTTTCCATTAGGCGGATGACGCGATGAATGGTTCTTCTACCTCGTTGGGAGAATCGGAATTTGAAGTCTAGTTGCTTGAGTATATGTAACAAGTCTTCTGCATGGCCACCAACAGGGTGATTACCTACAAAGAAGGGTTGAAGAACACCTTCCCAGTTGCTTGATGGAACATGAGGTCGGTCGTTCGCCATGTTTGTTAACACTTCAAGTGTTTTGGTTTTCAAAATATGCCTTGGAATTTGGTGTGTTTCTTAATATGTGAGAAACATTGTTCTTTTAAGGAAGGAGTTTGTTTCGTTCCTCAAAAGTTGGAAATTGGAAGGTGATCCTTGTTTTGAGAGAAGAAGGAAAAATATATTACTAAGTCAAATTATATTACAAAGAGGGAAGTATTACAAAAGTGCCCCTAGGGCAGTTTTTATATTTGTCCATTTGACCTCATCCCTGGATAGCCTTCTGGTATTAGCAGCCGTCTGATATCTTCTGATAAATTGAGATCGAGCTTGGGTTTTCAGCTCTTGATCCAATTCGGCCTCGTTCTTTGTATACCTCTCAAGCAGACGCTGCTCATTGGCAATTTGACTATCCAGGATGGACTGTTCTTTCCTTAGCTCCTGCAATTCTGCCTCCTTTTTCTGAATGGATTCATCAACTAGAGCCTTCGTGCTAAGGAGACCGCCCAACCTTCCAGTAGTTTGCTGAAGAGATTCTCGGGTCTTAGCCAAAGAATTCTCCAGTGTTGTTTGATCGAAGACAGGCTGAGGCGTTTCGGCTGACAGGAGTCCGATAACTAACACTTCAGTCTTGAGCTCAGTAAGTCTCTCCATCAGCCGATGCAGAATGGGGACGGCTGGCGATTCCGTCGGAGTGTAAAAAAGAAGGCCACCAACCGTCTGAATGAGTTTGTCCAAGAAGTCGGATCTTAATTCTGGAAGGGGACGGTTAATGGCCTCGGTGAATATAGTTTGGGCCTCCGCTGGAACCGGAACAGTCGATAGGATAGCTAAGTCAGAAGGCCCCTGCAAGTCTTACAGTTTCAATAAGTATTCCAAAGGAGGTGCAAAATTATTTAGGAACGATTGAGTAAGATATATGTTACCTCTGGGCGAACTGCTGTAATTGAAGGGGGCAACAATGAGGTCGGTCGAGTAGGGCAGACAGCTGGTATAACAGCAGCCGATTCGTCGGCTGCTGCGAATGGTCGCTGAGGTGCCGACCTGGGTCCCTATGGAAAGTAGTATATAAAACAGTTAGTGTTTTTAGAAAGAAATATTATGGCATGAATTGGTTTAATCTTACCAAATTCACAGAAGTCTCCGAATCGGACGAAGAAATTTCTTCTATTTCTGGAGGTTGGGCTGCCACAGGTGGTTCTTCTGCCTGCCACTCGATTGCTGGAGGTAGGGCAGCTGCTGGCTGGGCGGCTGCTGGTTGGGCGGCTGCATCTAGGGCCACTGCAGCCGGTATCTCAGGAGCAACTGGGATAGCCGCAGCTGAGGTACCTTCGGCTTCCAGCGCGGCCGCATCCGATTGGACTATTTCGGGATCAGCAGCAGCAGGGATGTTGTCTTGAGGGTCAGCTTCGGCAAGGGCAGCCGGTTCTTCATTCGAAATGGGTGAGTCTGATGCCATGTATGGCGGTCGACCCATCTGAGAGGTAGTCCCCTCGCTGTTTGAAGAGACCCCTGCTGCTGATGCGATTGGCGAAGGTGTCTGTGAAAAAGTATGGAAATGTTGTTGTTAAACACACCAAGGTTGATCATTAGAACCCTAAGTATTGCAGATGAGAGGACTTACTGGTTCTATAGGCAGTGCTGGTAAAGATTGCCTCCTGGTCGGGTGCCTGGTCCGACCGCTCCTCGGCACAGGAGGAAGAGTTTGCCTCCTTGTCAGGTCCTCCGCCCGACTGCTCATTGGCAAAGCGAGAGGTGGAGTATGGGTTTGGAGAGGAAGTGCCTGAAGTCAAATGGAGATCAACATTTAAAGTTTTGCAGAAAAAATGACAAGTTAAAGTGCTAATTGATTACCTGAGACTGGACCAAAGAGACAATTGATTGGTCGGCTGGGGCTGGCGTCGTTTGTGTGGTCGGTGCTACCAAGGTCGAATCTGGTGAAAGAAATGAGAGAAATCAAAGTTAAGGTATATTGAAATGGTTCAAGGTTTTCAGAAAAAATTACCTATTCGGGGTCGGGTCCTTGTTGACGTCCTAGTAGATCCAGGGGCCGTCGGAGCTTGCTGGTCGGCCCCAGAGGTCGGAGGTGTTTGAAGCTGGGAAGTTTTCCTTTTCCGCATTGGGACGCTAGATCCGACTCCCGGGGCGGCTGTTTGTTGCTGAGTGCTGGTATGTCTAGCTGCCCCTAGAACCAATCCTTGGGGGGGAAGGAGTACGTTCAGCAACCGATCCTTATCAGGGGAAATCAGGGCCCATACAACCGACCACCATTCATTGAATGTATTCACAGTCTCAGGGTTGGGGCGGAAAGGAATATAAGAATTGGAAACTATATACGTGGTGAGCTGGGAGATGAGCGATCATCGCCACATCCATGAGAGTCGGACCAAAGGGGCCCGACGGTAAGAGAAAAGTCCCATTTTCCGCATTCCAGAAAGCCGACATGGCTAGGAGCACCTTCTCGTGCAGATTGATCGGCATGGTGGATAATAGAATCGCTTGGTCGATTTTTTGAGATCGCCATTGGGTCTGGAAGTGTTCTGATACCCGTCGATACCAATAGCGATAAGGATCTTTTGGGTCTGTGAAATGGGTTTTGATGCTGTCTCGAATGCGAACTGCTTGGTAAGTAGGGTTGTTGACGGCCAAGGAATTTCGGGATTCCAAAACTTCCCTCATCCGATTTGAGTCTTCGGGAGTGGTGCAGTATGGTCGGATGGTCGGAGTTAGCACTTTCGAGGCTGAAAACGGGCCCTCTGGGAGGGTTCCGTCGAAGGGAAGGGCAGGAATGTATTGATTCGCCATGGTTAGAGTGGTTGAGATTGTGATTCACAAAGGCTCGTATTGAAGAAAGGGAAGTTAATCAGGAGTGTTGCAGTAACTGGTGCAGTTGCTAAGGGAATTTTTCAAGAGGGTTGTGATTTATGAACTTCCAAACGACGATTGATAAATGGCGTTTGAAAGTCCCTTGGCGGCGGGCAAGTTGTTACGTATGAAATTTAGAATTAGGTTAAAAAGCCCAAGGTAAAAGAAAAAATGGGCCTGGCAATAGAGTTGATTGAACTGGCTGAAGGACACCGTGGGGAACTCAAGGAAAATAGGTTTATTTCTAAGGAAAATACAAGTCGGGAGGTCCTCAGGACGGAAAGACCTCAGGTCGGGAGGTCCTCAGGTCGGGAGGTCCTCAAGACGGAAAGTCATCAGGACAGAAAGTCCGCAGGTCGGGAGGTCCTCAGGTCGGAAAGTCCGCAGGTCGAAAAGTCCTCAGGACGGACAGGTTGGGAGGTCCTCAGGTCGGGACTCTGCGGCTGGACCAACAAGTCGGATGGTCTGTTAGTCGGGAGGTTTGTAGCTGAACCAAACAAGTCAGATGGTTTGCAAGTCGGGAGGATTGGCAGTTGGACCAATACGGTTGTAGATTGGCAGTCGGGCCAAAAGGGCGGAAGGTCTGTGGTCGGCTCAAAGAGTGAAATATAGTGACAATTTTGGTCCGCTGAGGACACGTGTCAGCAGGAGAAGGGTTGGAAGACGGTTGGAAAGGAGACGTTGTAACCGTTCGGGCGACGGTTTTCAGTACAGTTTCCCAGGGAATATTTAAGGGTTTGGATTTTTCTGGAGAAGGTATCTTCAATCAACTTCAACAAAGCAAAGTCAGATTTGGGGATCACCACTTTAAATTTCAGTCTTTTATTTTCCAGTTTATTTTTTGTACCATACAGTGTTTAGAGATTCCTAGTCTCAGGCACTAATTAATCAAGTTTAAGGATATTTTCTATATCTTTGAATTTTATTTGTTGAAAAATTACATCAACAACTATATAATGAAACAAAATAAATATAATATAATCATAAATGATATTACGTTTCCTTTGCGTGAATAAATATTAGATAAAAATAATATCCTCCTTGGCTTTAATAATGGCGACTCTCCTATTATTATTATTATTATTATTATTATTATTATTATCTATACCCACCCAGAACCATAGCCGGAACTAAACTGAAGAATCTCCATATCGCCACTACGGTACCATTGCATTTGCTGCACAAAACCCATCATCAATCCCTTTCCTTCACTCTGCAATTGTCCGTTTCACCCAAATCCACCATTTCATCATCGCTTTTATCTAATCTTTCATTCCCGTGCCGTGCCGTCCCCTTCATTCTCTGCAGCTCGTTCGTTTTTCCTCGGTCTTCTCTCCTTTACGTAAGATACATAACATACCAACGATGACGACATTGATTATTGTTTGGCGCTTGCTTTCGTGTCGCTTATGTGATTAGATTAGATTTTTGTTTTTGTGTATTTTTAGATCTGATTGTCTTCAATCTGTTTCTCTGTAACTTTGTGTGCGCAATTAGGTACGTGAAGGAGTAGTGCCACTGCGAGTACGATTACCTGTTCAAGATCGTGTTCAGGAAAAACAGACGGAATTGTGATTGACATTGAAGTGGAATTCATGAGTGATGGCGGTTAGGGTGGATCACGAGTACGATTACCTGTTCAAGATCGTGTTGATCGGCGATTCCGGCGTCGGGAAATCAAATATTCTCTCGCGTTTTACCAGAAACGAGTTCTGTTTGGAGTCCAAATCAACCATCGGAGTTGAATTCGCCACCCGAACTCTTGAGGTTAATTGCATCTCTGTTCCTTCGTATCTAACCAACATATACGTATTTTCTTGTTTCCTTCCATTCTTCAGTGCTTTGGATCATCGGCTTCTTACTCTATTTGCTTCTAATCTAAAACTTTGTTTTGATTCCACAATAATTTTTTTAAAAACATACAATAGTGTATTTGGTGCTGCTGATTGAAATGATCGATCATAAACAACTGTTCACAGAGATGGTAGATGAAGAAAATATTTCAACTGGATCAAATCTCTATTTGATTCATTACTGAATAGCTTCGATAGTTACAACTGCACATATGTTCCAAACAATTATTATTCGACTAGAAGCATTCATTCTGTTAAAAAACACCTGTAGAATTTGCTTGTATTCATTCATTCTGATTTATTTATATGATGATGACTATGATCCTCCTAATTATTGAATTGATGCGTTTGTTCGTTTGATGATCATTCTTATTGAATTTACAACATTCATTCGATGATCCATCTATCTCTACAGGTAGAGGAGAAGACAGTGAAGGCCCAAATTTGGGACACAGCCGGGCAGGAGAGGTACCGAGCAATTACAAGCGCATACTACAGAGGAGCTGTGGGGGCGCTCCTTGTGTACGACATTTCCAAGAGGCAGAGCTTCGACAACATTCAAAGATGGCTGCGTGAGCTGAGAGATCATGCAGATTCCAACATTGTGATCATGATGATCGGAAACAAATCTGACCTCGTACGTCTAAGGGCAGTGAGTGAGCAGGACGGGCAGTCATTGGCAGAGAAGGAAGAGCTCCTATTCCTCGAAACTTCTGCGCTGGAAGCGCGCAACATCGAGAAGGCGTTCCAGACCGTATTGTCGGAGATATACGGCATCATCAGCAAAAAGGCGCTGGCAGCACAAGAAGCTGCTGCTAATATCGCCCCTCAAGGTACTACTACTACCATTAATATTAGCGATTCTTCGGGGAATTCAAAGAGATCGCGCTGCTGTTCTACTTGACTTGATAAATAAATTTGGATACTCATGATAACCAAACCGATTGACCAGCTCCCGAACATTTGCTTTGCAAGATCAATTTGTTGGGAGGGAGGAAACATGTATATCTAGTAAGGAATACTGGTATCGATCAATTTTATTGGCAATCTAACGGTTGATTTTGATTGGAGGTGTTTTGGGTATTTTTAAAAATAACTCAATGATCTATGGTTAAGAAAAAATCTATTATCTTAACTATTTTCTATATATTCGGAAAATCAATCCTAATTGAAAATATAAATGTTTGTAAGTAATTTTTTGCTAAATTGTACACCATTCAAAATATAATGATGTATACGGTTATCACGGATGAGGTCTTTACAATGCTATTATAATGTTTTATCACGAAATACACTTCATACATAGTTTACTGGGTTATATAATCATTTCACCCGCTTCACCCACAAGTTATTTATCAACCCTCACTTTCTCACGCAGAGACTCATTTCCTCCTCTCATCGCGCTGCCTCAGTCGACCACGCATTCTACGAGCACCGAAGACGACATCTCTAGCCACGCCCGTTGCTGTTAAACACAGTAGTTGTCTCCGCCCTTGATTTCCCTTATATTACACCTCTGTAGTTGACGACCGTTGCCGCCTACATCTCTAGCCGCAGCCGAAGCCGCTTCCACCCTTGATTTCCCTTCTATTTACACCTTCAGAGTTGACGACCGCCGACGACAACATCTTTGGCTGCGCCAGCCGTCGTCAAACATGATTGCCACCTCCGCCCTCAGTTTCCCTGTCGTGTAAGGTAGGGGAAGGGGGAAGGGGGAAAGGTAGGGTTGATTGATGGTGAACAAATTTGGTGTTTGTGTTTTCAATATTGCATAATTATTTTTATGGTGTCGTGTGTAAATGTGCATTCTTTATTAGTCTCTTTTAAAAAAAAAAAAGTTATCTGCACAGTTATTCCTAAAAACGTTTTTATAATCTTCGGACATGTAGGGTCTATATTCAAGACACATATATTGTTTAACTCAGGATAGACTTATGATACTAAACCTTATTATGCACGTTTTAGTTTCATGTTATGGTTCTTATTTTATGATTTATATATTGATATTATGATATATTGATCAGGTTTAAATGATGGACTATGTTATGTATATTTTTCATCATTATATTTATAAGTAAGATATATAACTTCAATAGACATGATATATACATCATATATAAATGATGGAAGTTGCATATAGGGATGTTGCACATATAGTTATGATAGTATTTCATTTTTTTTATTCCTATTTATATTTTAGATATTGCATAGTTATGATGTATTGGTCAGCTCCGGCATAAGGCTACTCATACCGCCGCGACCTCGACCTTGCATATTCGAGTCCATACAGGTAGCTCTGTTGGGATGGCCTAGGCTCCGGCATCAGACTACTCATACCACCGCGACCTCGACCATGTTTAAATGATGGACTATGCTAAATATATTTTTCACCATTATGTATGTATATATGACGGAGAGGCAGCATCCTTTGAACTTTTTTGTTTATTATTTTTGGCAATTCTACTGTCTTTTTGTACCCCTCTTTTTTGCAAAAATATTGAATGTATTACACATGATGATGATGATCACTTTTTGCCTTTTTTGCATTTGTTTTGCACGGCAAATTTTTGTCTATATGCGTATCTACAATATGACTTCTACTCATCATCGAAGTTTGAAAAAGATGCATTGGTCTACTAGTCGCCACCTGGAGAATCAAATGATATGCGCCGTTATAAAATATGTTAATATGATTATGGAATATAGTATTATATTGTCACTCTAGCGCGAATATTGAGTAGCTAAATTACTTGTCTTCCTTTTTTTTTACGCAATATATGACTGGATAAATATTCTATACGGTTTTTAAATATTAAAATAATAAAAGAAAATTAATGGATATGATCTAATTTGGAGATTATTTCAACTCTTCATAATTTTAGGAAATTGACTTTAATTTTAAGGGCAAACTATTATAATTCAACACTTTTAAATTTGGATAAGATATGATGTTCCTTATCATATCGATTTCAAATATCATTTCACAACGCAAATGCTTAAATTTTGTTACAAAACTTATCGTTTTAAGTGAATACTTATAAAATTTTTATAAAAATAATGAAATCTAAAATCGTCCTAAGAAAATAATGCAAACCACAACTATTGGGTTCAATAATTCAGATAAATTTAATGTATGTCATTGTACTATTGAAAGCCTGCAATTCATCCACTATTTCGACCATTGATTCAATAATTCTTGTGTGTAACTATTGATATGTTGAATGAATAATATGATTATGATGCATGTGTTCTGAACATATGATGTTCAGAAGATAGAGATATTATGCAATAAAAATTTGTCAATACGTTACTTTCGCGATAGATAAAAAGTAGATAAAAGCTTACCGCATTTAACATTTTCTTGAATGCTATCTTCGTCCACAACATACTGGAATTCACCGAAATGCACATCATTTTGTTCTATGCTCCTAGTTCTCCACTATACTTTTTTTTCCTATCGACGTCGGCAGTTAATGTGGAATTCTCTTTTTTTATATATATATATATGAACGAAAACAGATCGATAATTAAGCATCTACCTATATTTGTGTTATCTTAATTTATGCTGAAATTAATAATTGTTTTATTTATTAGGCAAAATTGCTCATAACTTCCTTGTGGTTTCGAAACTCAGCGTAAATCCTCATGTGCTTTCAAAGTTACATGGCACCCCCTTATACTTTAAAAAACGTTATATGAAACCCCTTTCTACATTTTTTGTGGGATGAAAAGATTATTTCCTATCTGTATTTTTTTGCATGATGGGGGAAGTTTTATGCAATGTTTTTTTAAGTATAAGAGAATGTCATGCAATTTTTAAAGTATATTAAACTTTTACACTAAATTTTGGAACCACATAAGAGTTATGTACAATTTTGCATATTTATTATATGAATCAGATTACATATTCTACCCCTACATATAATCTCAACCATTGATCAATATCCTTATTTGATGGCTGTAATTTTTACAGGACCCTCGTGAATTATAAGATCAGAAGGATACTCGGACCGTCAAGTAAGGGTGGGCTACTTTCTTTACCTTGATGGGAGGGACTCATTCATTGATAAGAGCAACCACAATGGTTTGCGGAGGAAAACGCCTCCACAATTGTAATATGGAGGCTTTGAAAAAAAAATTACACATTGGAAGCTTAATAAAAAAAATTTCCACTACTGCTTTAATTTTTTTGGTTTAGTTTAGATGGCACAAAATCAATACAAACTCAAAACCACCAACTTGTTCAACCAAAATTTATTCCGATTCAATTAATTCGTAGTAAAGTTTGCATTAAGCTAAAACACAAAGGCTAAACACTTTAAACCAATCTATTGTAACACTTCTGCCAGCAGCTTGATTGAGATCACATTGGCTACTTGATGTTCTTTTTCTTCACCTTTGGATCCGCCTCAACAATGTTTATCTTTTCCAACTGTTGAAGAATGTGATGAGCAATAGCACCGCTGCTTTTACAAAATGTGGTGGGCGGCTTCCATTCATCTTGCTTCTGCTGTAAATCCTTTGAAGGTACCAACACCAAGAATTCCCCATAAATAAATCTTTTTAATGAGAAAATGAGGTAGAAAGCAAATAAAGTACACAGAGATTTTACGTGGTTTAGTGACAGTGTGCAACCTACGTCCAAGGGGCAGGAACTGAAGAAATTTTATTATAATGAATCAGAGGGTTAAAATACAATACAAATAGGAACCGTAGCTATCTATTTATAAACACCCAAAAAAAACACCCTAAAACCTAAGCCCATTTTTTATTTATAAAGATGGACCAGAAAAGAAACCCGGCCAATTGAAACAATGTTTTTTCGTTTTGGTTACGGGTCGGATAGACAACTAAATCTAAGTCACATTTCTACAATCTCTACTTTGACTTGAGTTTCTCCAACCGCCAAATTTCCTCAGTAACTCTCTCAGTCATCTCCTTCCTGCCAGATGCCCCGATGGGACTTTACCTCCTGCGAATATTCACCAAGTCCAAGCAATGCTCAAACTTCTCCATTGGTAGCGCATTTGTCAACAAATCAGATGGATTGTGTTATGTAGCTATTTTCTTAATAAAAAATTTGTATTTCTACAGAACATCACAGATAAAATTCAACCTCACATTAATATGTTTGGTTATTTCATGATACACCGGATTTTTAGCCAAACTCAAAGCACTCTAACTATCAGAGAATAACATCGGTTTCTCCACCTTCAGAGCCAAACTCTGCACCAAACCATATCACAAGATACACTTCTTAATACCTTCAGTCATTGACATATATTCTGCCTCAGTCGTCGACGGTGCAATCAGGTTGTAAAGTAGACTTTCAACTGACTGCACATCCAAACAAAGTGAAGATAAAGAAAGTCAGTGATCTTCTTTTCACCAACTTACCCTCGTAATCAGAGTCTGTATAACTAACTAGACCATCACCACGACCTTATAATCATACCAGTAAAATATCAGACGCTCATTTCAGATATCGTAAGATCCACTTTATAGCTCCCCAGTGAGCTTTACCCGGATTAGCCAGAAACCTGCTCACCACACTAATCGCATAAGCGAGATCAGGTCTCGTACATACCATTGCATACATAAGACTTCCAACTGCACTTAAATATAGAACTGTCTTTATGTAGCTAACCTCTTCATCTGTAGCCGATATAGTGCTCCAATCAAGTTTAGAGTATGCCGCCAAATGAGTACTTATCGATTTAGACTGATCAATAGAGAATACTGGAAAAACTTTCTTAATACACTTTTCTTGAGAAACCCATGAGCTGTCATGCTCCTCTATCACATCAGATCTCCATACCCAATATTTTCTTTGTTGCACCTAGATCCTTTATCTCAAACTCATTCTTTAGTAGAGCCTTCAAGTCATTAATTACAACCATGTTTTTAGCTACAATTAACATATCATCCACATAAAACAGCAAATACACAAAAGAATCACTAGATCTTTCTTTGAGTAAACACAATTATCAAATTAATTATCATAGGCCGTTGAGCAACATGATTGGGGATCGATAGATATGGGTTAGAACAAGGTTAAATTAAATTAATTGGGTTTGCCAAAGAACGAAAAAAAAAAAAAGAAAGGTAGATGATGATTTACCATAAGCATCACCAGCAAGGATCCTATCAAGGCCATCATAGGTATTGGAAATTGTTAAATCCAATGGATGGCTAAGTCTAGAAGGGAGTGAAGCAATTTTTGGCAATAAAAAAAAAAAAAAAAAATCTTACTTCATTGATGGAGGTCTTTACCGAAATATGGAATTACCAATGCCACGAGCTAGGTTGAAACCACCAAATATGTTATGATGAGCAAGTTTGCAAAATATGATCCATGTTTAGTTGTTGAATGTAGTTCTTCTAGGCCTAGTGAAACATGGGTGATTGTAAACTTGAACTTCGTTACAGGGATACTAACACGATAATGTGGTTCTACACAGTTAGTATGCAAACAATTGAAATTTAATTGGAGATTTTTCTTTGAAAAATGGCAAAATAAGTGAATCATAAATGAAAAGATCTAGTCTTCTTTTCTTACCACAGTCTATGCAGCAACCTTAGGGGTGATCAAATTCTCGGGTATACTTAGTGTGAATTGAGTGTTTGTGTCTTCACCAAACATTAGAAGTCCACACACTGCAACGCCCGTATATAGTAAGTTGACGACTAAAAACCTGCATTTTCATAATCTATTATGGGAATATACAAGA